CCAACGACTCGGCCTACGGGCTCGGCGCCCCCGTCTTCACGCGCGACCTTGCGCGCGCCCACCGCGTCGCGCGCGCCCTCGAGGCCGGCATTGTCTGGATCAACAGCAGCAACGACGCCGACTACCGCGTGCCCTTTGGCGGCGTCAAGCAGAGCGGCGTCGGCAGGGAGCTGGGCGAGGCCGGCATCGAGGCGTATACCGTGGCCAAGAGCGTGCATGTCAATCTCGAGGGGCCATGAGCGGGTAAGAGAAGTTAACAAGAAAGGAGCGAAAAAGTTGAAGAACATAGCAGTTGTGCACCTGAAGAATTTTTTTTTTAAAAAAAAAAAGAAAAAAAAAAAGTGTAAAATTCTCACATGCGTAGATTGTCCTGCCATTACATCGTCTTAATCTACAGACATGACATCTCATCCCTCACAGCCGTTGCATCATGACACCGCCCGTCCCCAACTCCCAGGCACACTGCCGCCCGCCTATCCACCGACAGCCTGGCCGACGGCACCCGCAATCTGCGAAAAGACGAGGCCCTTGAAGACGCCCGTCCCGAGATGCTCCGCCCAGTGACCCGCGTCCTCGAGCCTCGCCTTCCAGAGCGCCTTCTGCTCGGCGCTCAGCTCGTCCCACGACTGCGCCGGCTTCCCCTTCAGCGTGTCTTGGTGCAGTTCCGCCTTGATTTGCGGTGGCACCGCGACATTCTCCTTGCCCTGCGCCCGCTCGAGATCCGCGTGAGGGATGGCGTCCTCGCGGACAACATACACCTCGCCCTCCTGGGGCGTTGTCGCCCCGGGCACGAGGCGAGCGAGGAACTCGCCCGGGGTCAGCACCTCGGGGAGCACAGCCTCGACGGCGCGCGCGCCACCTTCGCGGGGCGTGACCATTGTGCCCTTGGGGAAGAACTCGGACGGGTCGACGCCAGACTTGAGCACGTACTGAGCGATTGCGGCGAGTATAACAACAACGACGGTCAGGAGGATGAGGGGTCGCGTAGCCTTGCTCGGGGGCGCCAGAGCCACCGCGTAGCGGCTCGGACGGGGAGGGCCGCCGGCCTTCTTCGCCGGCGCACCTTCTTGCTTGAGCTTCTTCAGGGGGATTGTGTGAATGGCGACGTCATTGTTGAGGGAGACGGAGGCGAGGTTGATGACGAGGTTCGTGGGGTTCGGAGCCTTGGGCGGCGCAAAAGAAGAGAGAGCGAGCGAAGTAATGTTCAAGGGGTGAACGTCCTTCAACGCCATGACGGGCACGAGCTCGATCAGCAGGTCGAGGTGAGCGGCGGAGCGGTGCTCGACGGTATAGAGGGATATCGCCTGGAAGCTGGCGACGGCGATGACGAACTGGGTGTTGCCGAGACGGTCACCGGGTCCGGGAGGCGTGTTGACGTTGCGAACGGCAAAAGAGGCGGCGCGCGTCATGAAGCGTGGCAGCTTTGCCGACACAGCCAGACGGCCCTCCTCAATGTCCCCAGACGGCAGGCGAATGCCGTTGAGGCAGACGCCCGAGTTCCGCGGCAGGTTTGACAGCGCCATGATGAAGACGGGGGAGATGTAGCGAATAGCCCTGAAGCTGGGTTGGACACCTGTGCCGTCCTCGGGCATGCTGTAGGCCAGATCGGGGCCCGTGACATCGTTCTTGGTGACGTTGATGACGAATACTTCGCGCTCGTCACAGTATGCCACCTGGAAGCTGTCGTCGCCCGTCTGGATGACGTCGAGGTCGGTGGCCTCGCGCGAAATGTCCAACACGCCCCTAGACTTGGGCGCCTGGCCCGGCGTCACCTCGAAGATGACAATCTGGGACCGCTTGGCGAAGCCCGTCGCCACAGCGCCGACCTGCTTCTGGCCGGGGCGTTGTGGGTTGGGCGCGCTCACGCGCAGCAGGCGCTGGTACGTCTCCTTGTCGCCCTCGCCATGCTGGAAAAGCGCCGTCCGCGACACCTCGCTCAGGACGGCCGTGTGGGCCGTCTTTTCGGACTTGCTGCTGGACGGCGCCATGGAGAAGACGCGGAAGTGTTCGTTCTTGCCCTTCTCGAGCTCGGCCGTGCTCGAGTTGATGCCGGCGTAGACAAAGGTGGGGGCCTTGTTGCTGGCGCCGGGCTTCTTCTGGCCGATGGCGATGGTGTTGACGGCATCTTCGTCGCGGCTGAGGTCGGCTTCGGCGGCGATGCGCGGGTTCTCGGCGAAGGGCGCGTCAACGGCTGTCTTGGTGGAGGGTCAGCATAGGTCTGTATGCGGCGCAGAAGTCAAGGAGGAAGTGGCGGGCCCTTTACTCACTATCCTGTTGGGAACACCACTCCTGTTGGCGCCGCCGCCGCCGCTCACAAGCAGACGGGTCGCATCTTGGGGATCAAAGTCGCAGGCGAAAGGGGGGTAGCCGAGGGCCAGCCTTGTGACAGGCAGAGTAGGCGCCATGGCAGGCTGGCGATGTGGTGGTGATGGGGGCTGCGCAAAGAGAGGCGCGGGTTCGAGACACTTGCCGTCGTAGTATCGTGGGTTTCGGACGGCAGAGACACAGGGGGACGGAATGAGCCTCTTTTTGTCAGGCTGTCGACAAGGGGCGCCGAGCTCAGGTGCTGTGGTGCTGGGTGCTGAGGTGCGGTGTGAGGTGTGAGGTGCGAGGTGCGGAGCGGGCGTGTGGCGATGATGAAGGTCTTGAGGATCCTCGGCCTCTGGGGAAGTCGCAAAGGACAGACCTTCCTTCCGTTTTTCACGCCAGATCCGTTCCTGCCTAGCCCCTCCATCCTGGTCCGGCCCGATTGATGGCGCTAGACCAAACGTGGCATCGTGCATGGCCCGCATGGGTCGAGCTTTCCCCAACTTTTCTCCAACCGTTCGCTTGGGTCCGCCGAGCCCCAGCTTTTTCCACTGCATATCGACTTCTCGACCGGGCCTTCTGCGTGCGCTCACTTGCACCTGCACTCAGCGCCGGCGCCGGGCCTTTTCTGTCAGGTGCAGCCGCGGCGCCAGGGCTCCTTCCATCCGGGGACTCCGTCATGGTTGGACTTGCAGTCTGTCAGACGTGGGCAGGTGGTAGGTGAGGTATTCAAGATTGGTGAGCAGATTGGATTTTCGAGTATTTTCTATAGTTCCTGGCCACCCTTTCCGCCTCCCGCCTCCCTGGGCTGAGCGACCACCCGATATTATCTCCCCGCACCGACGACCCTATCGTCCAATATCCCAGATGTTGCGCCTCCCATCTTCCAGCACCCCGTCACCAGCCTACCCCATCTGTCCGCCAGCAAACCGAGCACGCATCAAAATCTCGCCTCAAAGATCTCCGCCGGCGTCACGTCCTCCCAGTGGACACCGTCCAACGTGATGCGCCCAATGTTGCCCAGGTAATTCGAGTCAAGCGGCCTGATCACCCGGCCGTCCCAGCCCATGCTAGAGGAGCTGCTCGCCGAACCGTCACGGCTCCCCTGAACGTGCCGCACGAGCCGCTGCTGCGAAGCAACTGGCTGCTGCTGCTGTTGCTGCCACTGTTGATTCTGCTGCTGCTGCTGCTGCTGCTGCTGCTGCCACTGCTGATTCTGCTGCTGCTGCCGCCACTGCTGATTCTGCTGCTGCTGCCGCCACTGCTGATTCTGCACCTCGCCGACGTTCGGCGCAGACGCCGACTGGCTGATGCGCGTGCCGTTGCTCATGCTCCGCCCGGCGAGGTTCCAAGGCGCCGCCCGCCCCCCGCGCTGCAGCGTCCACCGACGCAGGCGCTCCGCCTCGACGCAGTCGTGGCACGGCTCGCGCAGGCTCGTCCTCCAGGACCCGTCGGCCGCCGCGCGCGTGACGCAGTCGTAGAGCTCCCACCTCGACGGGTGGGCGGGGATGCGGCGGCAGCGGTAGACGACGCACTCGAGGTGGCCGCAGCTGTAGCTGTAGTAGACCGTCTGGCACATGCTGCCTGGGTGTGCCCTTGCTGAAGTTTGCGGACGAACGAGTCCAGCGATTGTGTTGAAGGAAAAAAATAGACAGAACCGCAGGATGGGAGCTCCTCGAAGCGTGATATGAATCTAGGCAGGAGCTTGCGAGCACATGACAAATCTAGGTCGTTTCTCGAATGAATATATAAATGGTATAGTTTGGCTGCTTCTCCGTATCTCTTGGTGATATTGGCTTCTTCGTAGGACCAGGTCCAGGTTGTGGTAATGGCGCTGGTAAAATCTGATATATGTAGGGAGTGTGTATAGAGACACGGTGGTCTCAAAGTGAGCGACGGGAAAGGGCTGTCAAATCGAACCATCAGTGAGCTCGGTCGAGGTCGAGGTCGAGGTCGAGGTGATCGAGATGTACGAGTTGGTGGAGGAAAGAAAGCCGACTCGAATCTGGGGCAGCCCAAGGTATTTCTACCCTCAGCGGCGTTGATGGAAGAGGGGTGAAGAAGAGAGCCTTAAAGGCAGCCCCTACAACTACCTTGTCAAGGTAAGGTACTTATTCAAAAGGTGCAGCCCTGCATTCTGAGTCTTCCATGCAAAAGGCAAGCGCGGAGAATGTACGTCCCTTGGCCGCTTGATCCTGCCAGGAGGGGAAAAGGGTTTCGCAAGCCGAGGCCATGTTCGAACCCACAAGCTTTGTAGAGCACGAGCACAAGGCAGCACGAAGAATGGACAAATGATGCCATGTTGATTCAATTCACCTCGCTCTCAAGACCCGACGCCACCACTCCATTCACTCGGCCCAGACGCCGCGTCGTTGCCATCGCCATCGCCCTCGCCCCCGCCCCCTAATCCACCAGAATCTTCTCCTCGAGCTCGCCGTACCGCTCGTAGAAGCTCTCAAACAGCCTCACGGCAAACTCGACGTCCTTGCTGCCGCCCGTCTCCCGGATCGAGTGCATGCTGAGCTGCGGGTTGCCCAGGTCGAGGGTGCGGACGCCGAGCTTGGCGCTGAGCATGGGGCCAATGGTGCTGCCGCAGGGCGAGTCGTTGCGCACGACAAACAGCTGCAGCGGCACGCCGGCGTGGCGCGCGCTCTCCTGCAGCAGCACGATGCCCGGCGAGTTGGTCGCGTACCGCTGGTTGGCGTTGATCTTGATGACGGTGCCGCCGTTCATGGCCGGCTGGTGCGACGCCTCGTACTTGCCCGCGTAGTTGGGGTGCACCGAGTGCGCCATGTCCGCCGACACGAGGAACGACCGGCTGAGCGTCTGCTCGTAGGCCGTCGACTGGATGCTCTCCTCGAGGTGCGGCAGGGCGTCGTTGACCGAGTCGTACGACGCGTCCGACGCCGTGTCGCTGCGGCCCGCGGGGAGCACCGACAGCCGTCGGAGGATGGCCGGCAGGAGGTTCGAGTTGGCGCCCTGCGCAGACGTCGAGCCGATCTCCTCGTGGTCGAAGCAGGTCACCAGCCGGATGGTGTGGTCCTCGTCGAGCGCGGCCGAGTCGCGGAGCGACGTGATGAGGCCCATGATGGAGCAGTACGTCATGCCGAGGTTGTCGAGACGCGGGGAGAAGACAAACTCGTCGTTGAGCCCGCCGAGGCAAGCGGGCTGCGTGTCGTAGAGCACAAGCTCAAAATCCACCACGTTGGAGACGTCGACCTCGGCGTGCGAGGCGATGACGTCGATAATGTGCGGGTGGTGCCGCTCCGTCAGGTCCCGGAGGGGCTTGAAGTCCTCTTCCGTCTCTTCGTTGCCCTCCACCTGTGTCTCCGAAGCGCTCTTGTTCAGCTCTGCCGACGCCAGGCCGGCAATGGGGAACAGCTCGACCTCCTTGTTGGGGTCGAAGCTCGAGCTCCGGTCAAGGTGGATAGCCAGTGTCGGGATACGCAGGAGGGGCTTGTCGACTTTGATGAGCTTCTGGGTGAAGGTGCCAGTGGAGTCCTTGACAAGCACCCGGCCAGCAATGCTAAGATCGCGGTCGAACCAGCTATGCCAGATGCCTCCGCCGTACGTCTCGACGCCGACCTGGAGGAAGCCGTTGTTGCCCTTCTTCGAAACAGGCTTGATGCGGAGGCAGGGAGAGTCGGTATGCGCGCCGATCATGCCGACGGGGTTGCCGGGACGCCATTTCTTGCCAATCGCAAAGGCGACGATCGAGGAGCCGTTGCGGGTCAGGTAGTATTTACCGCCGGGTCGGAGGGTCGACGCCCAAGAGTCTCGCTCCTTGATCTTGCTGAAGCCGGCCTTCTCCAGGCGGGCAGCGGCGTTGGCGCAGGCATGGTAGGCTGTACTTCAGGCATCAGAGAGACGGAGGGCAGACAGACACGCTTGTCCAGGTAGACTCACGGGTGGGAGAGGCGTTGACAAAGTCAATGAAGTCGAGGGCAGTCTTATCGGGGGCCATGATGACAGCTGAGGTCGAAAACCGGGCGCGGGCTTTGATGGGTGTTGTCGGTCGCGGGACTGATAATGCTAGAGCTTTGAATGCGTTGTTGCGGCAAGAAACGAGACGTCCTGACAGCATTGGCGTGGATCGAAGATGGCAGAGGGCAACGGAGATGCGACGGCCATGGATGTTCTGTGGTGATCACGAGGGGAAGTCAACATGCAAGCTTATCGTTATCAGTCAACTGCGGTTGGGTCGTTGTAGCGCACCCAAGACATGGCGGGTTGTAGGCATCTGCGCGTGACTCCAGATGATGGATTGGATAGCTCAGCGACGCGTACTCCGGGCGCCCCTTCTAGAAAGACATTCTTCATGTTGGAAAGAAATTCTGCCTTGGAATCATGCATCGGTCTATTTCTGCGGCCATTGGGGTAGCACGGCATGGTGACACCAAGCTCTTCCAATCGAGCCTCCCGTCGAGACAAGCCATGTGCGTCAGCTGTGCTACGTATATGCCATCATCTGGTCAGCCGAACTTTTTACTTCTGTGGCCCAAGTGCAGGCCAATCTTGGTGCCAAAAGCAACTGCTAGTCTTGAATTCGAATGTTTGTTCATATGAGAGGTCCTACAGGCATATCCACCAGCGCAAACAGACTTCAAAGTCCCCAACGCATGTCTTGGACGAGGTGCAATCACCTCAAGATATCAGACACCTCTTCCACGAAGACAAGTCGGTGGCCAGGTATGTAACGGAAGACTCACAGTGTCACACCGGTCCCATTCCCCGAAGCGAATCAACGTCACATGGCGGCGAGCACCACCACGAGATGTCACGATAGGTCACAGACCGCACTCAAGCATGCGGTGCTCTCGGAATCACGGACTTGATACAGGCCCACGACGGTAAGAATTCTCGACGAGCCCGTGAGCCGCTTAGCCTTTGTTCCCGCCACCATCGCGGATAGGGCAGATCAGGCCATGCTACCTTGACCAGGAATGACGAGATAAGAACGCGGACGACAGGGTCATTCGCGAGCAGCCTCTGCGGGAAGCACGTCCACGGGCAAATCTATGGAGTCAAGATAAATCGCATATAGTGATGCGAAGTCTCAGCGCACACCAGATACATGGTATATTCTTCACCATGACTATCCATGCAGATGACCCCTGGACATCGAGGCCGTGTAATGTGTTGTTCAAAGCGCAAGAAACAGGTACATCCCTCCAATGCGCAAGGGTAACGACCTGCAGAAGCGCGCGGCAGCCACTGCCGGGTTTGAGAAAGCCTCAATCACTCCTATGCCTGCGTGGATGCACGGTTCCCCCCCAAAAAGACCATTTCAAATACCTCATCATGGGCTTGCTGTAGATGTTTCGCCATGGCGTGCCTCGTCGTCCACCAAACAGTCTGAGAATGCATGAGACATTCCCAGGAGGCTTGTTCAGCGGCCATCATGCCCTGGCCGACCTTGCCCATAATTTATGCTCATATGTGTTTTGGTGATCATCTCACTATTGATCGACCCTAGCGCTCGCTCAGGGGGGGTGGGACTCCTCTGCTCCTCAATGGCAGGCTACTGGGTAGTTCCACCAGGTGGACGACGACATGAACCAACGCCCTGAAAATACTACCTGAAGGAGCAGCAAGAACGCATTGCAGCCCTCGTGATTGCAATGCTGCGATGCGCCCACATGCGACGCAGCATCCCCCTCCACCCCAAAGCACCAAAAGCAAATGGTGTCGACAGAAGGGAGCATCAGCGTCACTTGACTGGGCACGCTTCGAGGTGCATGGTAGTGACAACCCCGATCGCGGACGCCTTGACCGCGAGAAAAAGTCAAAAGTGGCGGAGAAAAAAAAAAGAAGCCTTCCATCCATCGACATTCTGTGCACCTTTCTCTTTCCTCGGGGCCCTTGGAGGGACTGTCGTACGAGAGGCCATTCCACATCGCCTCCTTATCACGCCATCCCTCAGCGGAAATCCTGACATGACCGCACCAAGAGGTCACGCGCCCAAGGCACCATCACGACAGCAACTAGCGTAGGAGGGGGGATGAAGAAAAAGAATACCGTCCCTTTTTTGAATCCAACCGGACCCCAATTCAACCAGGCCAACCCAAAACCCCTCATGTCAAAAGTTGGAAGATGGTGTCTTCGCCTGGGTTGGGAGTGTTCTCCTCCCCCACCGCAGGAAAAAAAAAACACATCTTCAAAGAGCAGAATGCGTCAGCAGCTGGCCCTCTGTATAAAGTAAACCGCAAACGGCCAAGGGGTTCAGCTCTGGGTGTGGGGAAGTTGTTTGCTTTGTCGGTTACCATAGGTACCTTTACCTTAGCTTTAAGGTACCTTTTAGGTAGGTAGAAACCTAGTCGCCAGCGACCAAACGGTCATCGATTGCCACCAAAAGCTGGCGTGGCGTCCTTGACACTCCGGCAGCCCGGGAGGAGGGGAAAGGGAAGGGGGAAGGGGGAAAAGAAGGCTGCCAAGCACCCCGGACGCAGATCCCAGGGGTCCAACAGTGCCCGGCTCATCAGCCACACCGCGCCACTTCACGTCAGATCGACCCTTTCAACCAAGCGCGCGCACACACAGGTTCCTGCAGCTGAAGAGGGCCTTGGCCTTGCCTTGCATTGGGTGCCGGTGAGAGAGAAAGCCACCTCCACCACATCTCAACCACCCTGCACCCCCACCCCCGTTCCCCCTCAAGCTCAAGGCCGCCGCGCCATGTCACCCTCGTCGCTCAACCTTCCCATTTCGAGAGAAAGGGAGAGAGAGGGAGCAACAGGGTAGCTTCCGTCACCAACTAATGACAACTTAGAATTGTCCCCGCGCGGCTTGCAAATCTGTAAAAGCCAATACGACCGAAGGACCCAGATAGGATGAAATAAAACTACCATGTACATGCCGAGGCAACGTCGAGAAAGTGCGCAACAAACCTACCTTTTCAAAGTCTGCGCAAGAGCAGTGCCGTCTGGTACAGTAGGTAGGCAGGTACGGTAGTCAATACCATCCTTGCCCTCTTCCTCGCCTCCCTGCGTCTCGCTGCGGCGCAGAACACGCCCGTCACACCGCGCTTCCTCCTCCACCGTCTGGGCCAGCGAGACGCCAACGACGAACCCAGCCTTGATCGAGGTAAGACTTGCTCCATTTTGGGGCGAGGCCGGCGTGTGCGTGGCGTCACCAGTCCCCCTTCGCCCACCCAATCCCACCACCACCGCTTCCTTGCCAGGACTTGCTGCGCTCCTGTCTCCCTGATTTGCTTCTTCTTTTTGTTGCACTCTTTCAGTCTACGCGGCCGCGCGCACGGTTAGCCCATTGCCTGGCCCGCGCCTCATCCAATTCATGCGGTCGGTGGCAGAGGGTATGCGACGAAGAGCATACTGCCCGACCGACTGACAGACCGACTGACAGACCGACTGACAGACCGACCGACCATCATCAATGTGTGTCCAGAGATGAGGTTGTCCGGCGGAAAAGGCATGTGTCGATTGGGCCCCATCAATGATGCCTTGGCCATCTGTGCGACTAGAAAAGGAAGAATCGTAGGCCAAAGATTCGGACACTCATACCCACCCACGCTTACATGTACATGTACCATGTATGTACAGTGTGGCTCTGTCATGGCCAGTCGTACCAAGCTGATGATGCGACAACGGAAGCTGAACTCCTATCCTAGCTGCCGTCCATCCCGTAGACGGCGACCCTGTCGTGGTACCAAGGACCAGCGCAGGCCCAGCTCCCGCCCGTGACAGGGGTGTCCCCAGCTGCTCCAGCTCCCCTCTTTGAACAATTGGAATTGCATTCGTTTCCCTTGCACCCCTCTCTCCGCCCCTTCGAGAGAAACAAAATTTCTCGTGGGGACGCTACGCATGGCAATCAAGACTACATTCCTGACCCTTTACCGAGCCCTCCTTGGCAGACATGGCAACGACAAGCAGACGGTTGGGAAAACACAACAACCGTCATACGCAGCATGCGAGAGGAGAGCAGCCCCGAGTCAAGCCCACACACAAAGATGGGAGGGAAGAAGTGCAGCTGTGCCTGGTACACTTGAGCATGGCCGATGAGACACGGTCAAGTGCCCTGCGGCGGCATGTCCGGGAGTGGTCGAGTTCTTCTTGGTGGGCTGCCAAATAGAGTTTGTCACGCTCTCGACGGACTGACAAACACGCGATTATCGTCAAGCTACCAGGCCGATGGGTTGGTCTTGCGTAGACATGTAATATCCTCGAAACCTCGCATTGGGGATGCTGCCACTGCCGTGGAGTCAAGCCGCGCAAGACCTGGCACTGACCTGCCCATGTTGCTTCAGTCTCTAATCTGTAACTGGAAGACAGCCATTCCAGACTGACCAATGATCATTGCGACATTCTGCATGTTATGCCTCCGGATGGCCAGACCCTATTGATGATTGAACGATTGCATCGTGTTAAAGAACCGAAAGAACGGATCACTCCCGACTGTCTTGTCTGCGGGCAATTCTGACATGGCAAGAGCCTGGCATTCATGGACATCGCCAGAATGACAACGATGCAGCTCTTCAAGGCCAGCCCGAGGCAAAACACCACCCCATGAGATAGCGGGCCCTTGTCTTCTCTAACCCGACAAGCCAAGGCCCCCCTGCTGATTGGTGGACCCCTGGTCTTCCCACCCCCTTGCAGCTTGGGGGCGACGGATGTGTATTGGCGATCAGACTCGACCGAAGCATGTCAAACGGCTGGCTGCCGAATGGCTCATAATCACTGCCTCCAACACACATGTTGTACAACAGAGATCTTCTGCATTTGTAGATGGCACTGGCCCGCAACCCGCAAGAGAAACGATCTATCGTTACTTCTGGCAGCCCCTCAAGATGATCGAGAGCGGCGAGGAGAGAACTTGGAGTGCCAGCATGGACTACCAGGATGGCCATGAACCGTGCGCTGCGGTGACGGGGTTGGTCCCTGGGCATCAGTGATGAATGCCAGGGGTGTAGTTCGTGTCTTGGCTGCGATCGTGAATGGCAGAGCGTAGGAAATAAGTATGAGATCGCCTGCTGATTCGGGCGCCGATCCTGCTTCTAACGCCACGACGCATTTGCCTACCTGCTGCCTGTCAATGTCGGTGTGCAGGTCGAAACCTTTGGTCACTGACCTCACCGCCAAACAGGTTATGATGTCGAGCGATGCCCTTGCCATCCTCAACGACAAACCCAATCGCCAAAACCCGGGCCATCCGTACAGCGCCCAGGCTAGGCCAGCCCAGGCCTCGTTTGTGCCAAGTGCAGTGAACCCGAAGGTACATGTACGTATAGGAGTGGCTGCGGTGGGTGATACATGTACAAAGCGCGAGTCCTGGCTGGGCTGCTGGCTCTCACCATTGTAGGCTAACGGGGTAGCTCCCGCACTGGATCAGTTCAGAGGACCCATAGATCCCCGCCCAGGGCGAAAAGGAATGTCGAAGAAGACAGCCAAAGTGTTGTTGGTGCGTGCGCCGTCGTCGAGGCCAGACTCGATTTGGCGAGGTTGCTCAGAGCCTGCCTTGCCTGTCAATCGATGGCTGGTCAACAGCCGTTTGAGGTGTGGCGGGCCATCGTGATGGTGATGATAAGGAGGCCGATGGCGACAGCTTGCGAAGGGAGAAGACAAATGTTGCAGTCATGGCAAGCTAGCGTTCTGTCTACGCTCGCTCGGATGTCACAGAGCTTGTGTTCGACGTTACGTGGGTCTGGGATGGATCCTCGCTACAGGCACCACAGGGAATTGTCAGCGGACTGTTATGAAGGAGAACGATCTCTACGCTGTCCAGGCCCGCGCGATCCCGCACGTGGTGCCCTGCAGAGGGCGGAAAAATACGTCAATACTGCATTTTGATCGCCCTCCAGCTTGCAAAGCCGCACCGTCGAGTATGAGAGTCTGATGTTGATCTGGTGAATCCTACACACCGACGTGGAAGCATGGTGAGAGAGACACAAGCTCACTTGGTCCTACCACCAGCGCCAGCAACAGTACAAGTACCAGTTGCAGCCATGCAGGTACCAAGTGGACATGGCAGATGAGGAAGGGTGTCGCGAACGGACGCTTGACCCACACACTACAGGCCCGGCCCCTCCTTGTCCTGGAAGTGAAGCCCAGGCAGGCAGAGCAGTCAGGGCAGGGTAGCATGAAGGGAAGAACTTACCAGTTCCTGTGCAAAGCCGATGGAATACGCGCCAAAAAAAAAAAAGCAGTACCTGTTTCTTGGATAGAGGGTAGCTCTGGGCCATCGACGCTGGATACGAGTCGTCGCGGTAACGAGGCGGTGATTCAGCAACCGACGCTTGCAGTCAACGTTCATAATGACATTGTACGTGGCGGTTTGTTATTGCTGCCAACAGGCCATTAGACTGCAACAGTTGAAAGTCGGGAGAAGACGGAGAAAAGGAACAAAGACACCAGGCCGAGTACAAGTACATGAAGCAGGTTGCACGTCAGGGTGCGACACAACTGGTATGCAATCAGCTGCGACAAGCGAAGCATGTCATCATATTCGATCAGTCAGCAAGCGCCGCCATTTGCTTCCCTTTGCCAGCTTCGGTGATGCTGTTGACCAGCCACATGACGAGGGTTGACCACTCGATCGATGGGGGAAGCGTTGAGCAATAGGGTCGGATCGTTGATCGCTCAGGCACTCCGGCGGGCATCGAGGCCTATCGCCAGTGACAGCTCCAAATCTTCTATCACTGGAGCAGAGGGACAGCACCGACCGTTCCTGGCCCAAAGCCAAGCCTGGCACTGTGGCCTTTTCGATATCAAGTCAGGTTCATCCTGAACAGCCATGAGCGATAGCCACATGATGGCTGCAGCATCACATCAGCAGCGCACGAAAGCCCGCCAAGGTAAAGAGAGAGAGAGAGAGAGAGAAGGGGAGCAACACAGAAAGGGAATCATGAGGAAGAGGAAAGGGGAGGGGCAGATACCGACATGTGTCAGGCACCTGATCGGACGACGTTTGAGCGGAGGAGTCGTTGTCCAGTGGTAGACTGTAGACGGCGTGTCGGAGGTGTCGCACGAAAGATTCACGTCATGGTCGGCATGACAGTCGTCCGTAGAGGTGTGCAGCCCCAGAAATAGGCGGGGAGAGACGGGCAGAGTTGCAGGTATCGAACCGTAAATGCTGGTTTGGCCGGATCCTCCGAAGTCTGTGGTTGATGGCAAGGCGATTCCCTGGGGTTGAGGGGACGGAATGCCAAAAGAATAGACAACAACGACGAAGCAGACAGAGTAGAGATGAGGGCGAAGCAAATGGTATCGCACGACGGCGGCACCCAGGTCACGATGATAATGGGAATGGAGGGCAGGAGGGCAGGAGGGCGGGAGAGGCAGTGGCGCCTGGTGATGGACCTGCAACCCCGAGTACCTTAGGTACCTTACCATGGCACAAGGCCTGGCTAGCAAGCATGGGCAGGTGGTACATAGTACCTACCGTATGCGGATGAGTGCCTGTGCAGGCAGGTACCTAGCACGTACAGCAAGGTAGCGGCAGGCTGTCAACAGGTCTGTCAGTTGGATGTGCACTAAGTCCATGTGGGCGGCGCCATGTGCAGGGGAACCCCTGTCCCATTGCTGCCCATTTCTTCCCTGGTGCAGTGTCGTGCGTGTGCCACCTTCTGCCTTCTGCCTTCTGCCTTTTGGCTTCCTGCCTCTGTCTCGATCCTGGTTCAAATTGTCTTCAGTTACCCCTTCCGTCGTCCGCCCTCAGGGTGCAGCAGGCGCATTGTTCTTCGCGTTGTGCTATCTCGCCCACCTGGGCAGGGCAGGCGATGCCTCTGCCCCTCTTCGTCTCGGCGCAGCATCTCCTGTGCCTAAGGTACCTTAGGTAGGTACCTACCTTACTTGCCCAACATGCGCATCGCATCACAACATGCAGCGACTCCCCGTGCTCGAGGGAGAGGAATGTTGCGATGTCTGTCGGCTGCCACGCAAAGTGGGGGTTTGACGAACGGCTTGTGCCTTGTACCTCCCCTTGTATCTTCATCGCCCTTCAAGCCTATCGGCATTTTGTGGACGATGGGTAACTGTGTTGGCCATTAAGGTACCCTGCGTTAGGCAGTAGAACGCCCATGGCTGACGTTGTTGCCCCCCTCTCATCACGCCAACGAGAAGAAGAAATACCAATCCTTGTTCGGACCGACGGTATAAGATCGGGTTGGCGGGAGATCAAAGTCCCCCCTGATCACCCGCGACGAGGTTCGATATCAACGAGTCACCGCATGCGGTTCTCTGAAGCAGAAGAACAACCTCGACTACCCACCCGGCCCCCCCTTTCCCCTCCCGCACCCTTGGAGCTTGGGGTTGAACATGGGGAGGCGGTAGCATTGAGAGGATGAAGCACCCACGTTCATTCCATGCCAACATCCCGATACGTAGGTACATGCGCATCACATCTTCGCCCCTGACTGGCCTGGTTGTCGCGCAATCGGCGTTTTACCTCTTATCCCCTCTTTCCCTCTTACTCTCACTCTCTCTCGCCCAATTCCTAGGCAGGTCGCATGGGAGGAAACGACCAGACGATAGAGTAGAAAGGTGCAAGAAGCCCCAGAATGATTGAGACCACACGCACTCCAAGGCACGTCAAAGCACTGGTGCGAAGTAAGGTATGTACTGTGTCGAAGACGGTGATGCCCGTCAGTTGACGGGCGATGTACATGTTTGGGGCGTGGGTGTCATCCAATGTACCGCGCCTACCCTTCCTTCATACCAACCTTAGCAAGGCAAGGTACCTCAGGTACCAAAAGTTGGTACCTACCAACCCACCACCCTACCATTCATTCGCCCAACTGCCGTGCTAGCAACACGTGTGAGGTGCAAGAGATAGGTACGTTAGCTGGCGAATATGTCGTCCTACTTTGCCTGTACCCATTTGCAATGGCGATGAACTCGCGACCCGATCTTCATCGCCTACGTGGACTCTCCATGGCTGGGCATTGCGCAACGAGGGAGTCGTTCGCAGCCATGGATGGGCGAACGGGCAAAGTTGCCTCACGATAGATGTGCCTCTCAGGTTGGATGGACCCCAGGACGCTAAGACAGACGCTTTGCAGGGGTCCAGGTGGGTCATCGGATTGCCTTGCGTCGGGACTTCATCTGTACATGTACCATGTATCTCCTAAACAACCGTGAGACGAGAAGGACGAAT